ATTTTAAGAAAAATATTAGGATATATATTTGAAAACTGTGTATTTTTTTAACTTTCAATGAACGAAACATTTTCTACATAAATGTAAACTTTTCTATGAAAATATTGAAGAAGGTCATGGAATTTTTATAAATAAGCAATACCCTAAACTCTATAGAAGACTTTTATAATATGAATCTTTAAATTAGTATTAATTAAATCAAGGTAAGTATAGTTTTCCCTACAAAAAAATGCATACCAGCTAGTAAGATTTAAAAAATACATATATATATCTGAATATCTGAATTATAACAGATATTTTTTAACTTAAACATATTAGTTTAAATATGTAGACCTCAAAAATCTGAAAAATACATTTCTTTTGAAAATGTCTGTAAATCAAACTTTGTCCTAAATAAGACAGACCTCTCACACAGTTTATATAGCATTATGTTTTTTTCTGTTCATTTGATCTCCACTACATCCAGACTTATCTCACCTCTACTCATTTTATGAACAGATTGAGTTATAACAATAGAACTAATATTTTTACACACAGTTCAGTGTTAGCATTATGGTCACTGAATTTCTTATTGTTACTGTTTGATCTTTTTTTAATGCAATAATTATTGAAATTCTCCCTCAGAATATGGGCCACTCTAATTGTGCTCTTATCACTCATTTGATTTAATACGATTTTTAATAACTATATTTTGGTTCTTTTTAGGTAAATAAAAATGTCAAATTTACTGCCCAGGAACTTTATGATTGTGTTTCTCAAACTGAGTATCGGTAAGTCCCATCTATATATAGATATACCATTGTAACAAGCTTGTACCACCTAAAGCACCACTTGGGGGTGTGGTGAAGTGTTCTTATGTCTTTTCACTACACTTTGATTTTTTTAACCTTTATTAATATTTCTTACACACATACCAAAAGGCTGTGGGTATGTGTGAGTGTAAGTGTGTGGGGGGGTGTGGGTGTTCTATCAGCCATAAGGTTTAAAGTGGTTCTCAAACTTTTTGGCTTCAAGACTCCTTTTTTTAAATTAAAAAAAATTTTTTT